GGCTTACCTTCACACGGGACTTTTTGTGCTTGCGGGGCCCATCGATGCAGTCTGTGGCCATGCCCTGGAAATCATCCTCTTCGTCACTGTCATCTTCCTCCTCTTCCTCACAGCCATGGAGAAAAGGTAGCTTTTCCAGCACGGAGCCACTTAGCCGCTCCTTGGAGCTCTCCTTCCCAGCGTTTCTGGCAGGACACAAACAACACTGCAAAGCTGAGCAGAGCGTCACCAGCCAGCTAGCACCCCATTTGTGGAAATGAGGAACAAGGGTCAATCTACCTTGCACAGGGACCACAGGAGAGCACCTCCCTGCCACCCCAGCACTCTAAGTGACCTACCTGACATGTGTTGGGTTTCCCAACTAAGATTCACCCCCGTGATCTCTGGACTGCAGCGTCCAGATTGAGTTCTGAGGGGAGGCGTCTACCAACCAGCTTATACTTTATGTGATGATATTATTTTCAATATCCTGCCAAATGTACCCGAACACATGTTCCAGGACCTTTCAGAATGTCACTTGCTCATGCAACAGCCGAGGTTTAGCATGGATGGTGAAGTTATGTAATGGAATTGCATTCAATTGTCAATAAAAACAAGTATTTGCTGTACACAGTAGTTTATATATACACACATAGTTTCTAACTACATTTCCTCTCACCTCTTGATCTGCTCCTCAATCTGCTTAACCAGCAGAGATTCCCCACCACTGCGGGGCTCTCGCTCTGCAAGAGGAGGTGAGGGTCCCACATCCGGGGGTCCATTGACCTCAGGGCTGCTTCGGCCCAGCAGGGAGCGCACCCTCTTAGAGCGCATGTCCAAGATGGTGTCTGAGTAGCCCACCTCCTCCAGGTACCTGCAAAAAAAGACGCAACTCATGGTAAACAGAGCTGGCACATTACAGCATACACACTCCATGCACAACTACCCCTGGAGAGACACAGGGTGACACTCAGGTTTCACTTGATAGTCTCAAAGAAAGTTTACTTTTTAGATTATTTCTATTTTTATAACCTTCCCATGATGGATTTGACCAACACCAGTCCATACGGTTCCCTACCGACAGCACAGAGAGCTGCACAATACACGCACGTGGCAGCAGAAATGTGCACCACTGTCATCTGCTGTTTTACACACTTCCGAGTCTTCCTGTGTAAACAATGTTTTTATATTTCATAGAATAAACAGTAATGAGCTGGTCCACACTTTTCGATGAACCTAGGTTTCACTGCTCTTGGCAAGCCTTGGAAACTCTTTGTCTTAAGAGCTGGGTTTTGAGGTGCTAATGAGTCGCACATATCTGACTCCACAACACTCTTTGACATCAGCTCCACTGTGGTCTGCCTTTCTGTGTGAGTGCCAGAGGATGCTATACTGTTGTGTCCTAGCAGCAATGCTGGACAAAATGTTGCTAACGGACCTTTTAGCACATCTGTAAGTCACTGAAGCAGACGGTTTCCAAAAACAAATGCAGCACAATGAAGATGTACTGTAACAGTGTGTAGGTGTTTCCTAGCAGACCAGCAGGGTCAGGGAAATGGGGCCAGTAACTTCTCCCAAGGGGAACTCTTACTTGCGCAGAAGCTGCCGTCCCTCCTTCCAGGACATCTGATTGGCTGGAGCAGAATCAGAGTCCGCTGGCCCATTGGAAACTGCAAGACAACATGGCATTCCAGCAGAAAAAATATTTAAACACATTTATTCACCAACGCCCATGATCTATGTTACCCTTATTCAAAGCAATCCAACAGTTCACAAGCCTTTTGCCTGGACAACTGGATCAGAACGGACCAACCAGACACTGGTGTCATACCAGGGTAGGACAGTACCTTGCTCCGACTCTCCCGTCTCTTGCTTCTTCTCCCCTGGGTTCTGTTCAGACCCAGCCTTCAGTTTCTGGTGCTTGGCCCTGAGGAAGAGACACACAGGAGTCAGCTGTGGGTCAGTGAAAGGAGGAAGCTCCCCAGTATCTTACCACAGGAAACTTCTTACAGAAAGGCCCTCCAGCCATCGTGGATAATCTTGTTTCCCTGACTGGTGTAGTCAGCTATTTGCAGATATTTAATTCCCACCATGACCCCATATTCTCGTAAATGCTGTGATTTTTGTAAGATTGAGTATTACAGTTCTATGTGTTGTTTCAGCTGTGCTAATAATACTACATTTTAATTATGTATTTCACAGTCTCTGTATAAAAACAGCTGAACTATTGATTGTGCCATTACTGGAAAACCAATGAAAGAAAAATGACAGCCATGTCACTTTAGCAGCTGTTGCAAAATGTGGAGAGAGCATACCTCCAATATTTTTAGGAACCCCAACACATTTACCTTTAATGGAAAAAAATGCTTGATTTTCAATATTGACAGCTCTGAAGCCTACAGCCATACATTAGAAGAACAAAGAAGAAATAAAAAAGATTTAACAATCTCCTCTTCCCCCAGCAATTCAACGTGACTTTAATGAGTCACAGGGTGTGCAGCCCCATACAGTTTTAGAAGGCCTGACCCTCATACAGTTTAAGAAGGTTTAGGGGTCTCCGAGAGGGAGCTCAGAGAGCCCTGGACAACTAGTCCCACAACTGTGTTCAACTTCTGAATGCATCTATTTTGTAAAATTTTCTAAGTACTTTGGAAATGTACTTCAGTGAGCTCACCTGAGAGAAAACACGCCTACCAGAGGTCCATGGAAAGAAGGGCACATTAAATGCTAGAGCAGTAGTAGACGAGGTCTCTCATGCAGGGTCTGTCACTCACCTCTCCTGTTTCAGCGCATACTCCAGCATCTTTATCCTGCGTACCAGGTCCTGCTTCATGTTTTCCTGGCCCTTCCTCTCATTCTGAAGGAACGCCACCTGTGCCTGAAACACACACACAAACATAAACCCTTTAACCTGACACAGAGAGGACCACAGTTCAAATCAAAGGCAATGTAGGTTCATACTATATTGCTTAATACCCAACACTCCTGCATCAATGTCTTCCTGTGTACAGGTCTTAAGCAAGGGAAATTCTGTCCAAACTCAAACCTTCCCAGTAGCCCTCAGCATGCTGTGTATGATTCAGCACGCTGGCTGATTTCCAAAGATAGCTTGGTTATTACACAACCTGGACACTGAGCAAATTTCACAAAATCATACATACTGCACTTGCAACAGGGAAACCTGTTGCAAATTTAAATGACTTAAATGTACTTAGATTTATAATCCCAAGATAAAAACATTTTGTGCCCAGGTCATACTGAAGAATGTAAAGTGTTTTACTGTGTCAAATAAAAAAAATAGTTTTAATTAAATACTACCCCCATTCCATTCTGGCTATGTGTTTGGTGGCACTCATGTGAAGAACAGTTCTCAGACACACAAGCTGCCACAGAACTCTCCCTCATCTCTCCCTGCAGGCTAGCAAATCTGTTAAACCACCTATTCTCCCCCTCCACTACCCTCCTCTCCATCAGCCAGGGCAAAGGGCCTGCTGAACAAAACAGGCAGACAAGGACAGTGAGACTGACAGAGATCTGGTGGGAACTCACTGCTGGCGACATGTACAGTGAAGACTATCTCAGTCAAGTAAAGTCAGTCCTGGTGAACAGCTGTTTACCTGGAGTCTGCCAAGACAGAGCAGACAAAACCCACCCACATGCACTGCAGGGATCCACCTCGGAGCACTGCTGCTCTCTCTCTGGGACAATTCATTTTCTTTTTAACACCCCCTCTACCCTCACGGCAACACACACACACAATATCCTGATATCACCCCTTGATAGTACAAGCTACAGCGACAGGACCTGCACGAGAGGGAACAGACAGGGAACCACAGTGCCCTGTGTTATTCCACCCAGCAGTGCACAGAGGCTGACCAGTCTCACTGATGACATCACTGACGTGGGGGTCTGGCAAACCACAAGTGTGCTACTGTATGGAAACCCCTGCCACTGTGAAGCCTAAAACTACCTAAAGATATATAATACATTTCCTCTGTTAAACAGAACCTTACTGAATCACACTCACATCTGGTTTTCATCAAACTGAATGCCCAATCTCTTTCTGGTGACCAGGCCTTGGTCACCCTACCAAGTACTGCTGTTTGTTCCTGCTCTGTTTTGTGACTGGTGTTGTCCCAAACACACAGCATGCTTACACCGGTACTGCCAGTGAGGTACTGGCCATCTGCTGTGTCAGAAAGTTACTCATCTAAGGGACACAGCCCGAGGAGCTACCGATCCCACAGGGGGATGAGCAGACCGTTACTTCGGTGAATCTAGCCCTGGGTTCACCACAGGCTGGGACCTGCAGTGATTTCGCCTTTCTCTGAACGTTCAAAGTCAAATTACTACCGATCCAAAGAGCCACTTGTCCACCAGTTCCAAAGCCAGATCCTATGGCTGAATATGAAACAATCTAGTATGTAGGTTAACTAGACATTTGTTTTTTTACAAAAAAAAAAGATTTTAAAAAAGCAAGCATACAGCTCCTAGGATTAGACTGTAACTTTATATTTTCCAGTGCTACCATACTAGATGTCATGGTACGATTTTCTATCTGGTTATCTAAAAAAAAAGGCAAAAAGCTTTAGATTCTCATCTTCAACTGACACAGCACCACCATGCTCTATAATCTTGGGGACAGTCCTTCTTAGCTTACATGGATAAATTTAGCTCTTTAATCACGGAAGAAAGTTAAGATTTAATTAGTTACGGTACTTTGAATCGGGAATGTCTTAATTCTGAGAGAACTAAAAATATTTAAATTAAACTAAATTCCTGTTGGGCTGGTGGGCAAATATCACCAGTCAAAGTAACGCTGCAGCCATCACACTACAATATCATTATCACCTCCAAACAGCACACCTCACTAATTATTTCACTCACAGCTGGTCCTCACTCCCCACTGTCCTTCCTCACTGCCGATAACAACCCGGAGTGACCCAAACGGGTCAGTGAAGTCACATGAGCAAACTAATTCGTCACATGCTCAAGCTATCATACTGGTAGTTTTTGCTCAATAAATTATGTTATCTTAAAACACAGACACAAAAACACCTGAACACCGAAAAGAGGTAGCTTTAGAGGTAAAAAGTGCTATATCCCTGATAAAACAAACTTGTATCCAGAGTTGCTTGGCATTACTTAGTCTTGGTTAAACCCTGGTAAATCATTCAACATTTATGTTTTGGTACCTAATATTGTATTACTACTAATAGTTGGTTTGATGCAAAATGAATTTATTAAAAATCAGAATATTATAATACCTAAATACTTTAAAACTGATTTAAAACCTTAATATTGTAACGCAACGGGGGCTCAGTGTAACGCTTACGGCCGACAAGCAGTGTGTGTAAGAGCCGGCGTACCAGAGCGGGTGACGTCACCGCCCTTCCCTGTGATAGCAGGACCACAGCTACTGGGCTGTGGAGAGATCTCTCTTTAGCTCACGGGGCTAGGTCGCTGCAGAGAGACGCGGAAGTCCCGGGTTCGAGCCACCTATACTTTGGGCCGACCAGATGCGGCAAGGGCGCCCGCCTGAGCCCCCGTTGCGTTACAATATTATGAACATGAATGTATTGTTGTTGAGGACCATATGTTGAGAAAAACCTTGAAAATAAGAAATCTGGACTATTCAGGCCTCTGTAGCCTGAAGTTGGGCCAGTGTTCATATTGTTAATGCCAGGCCCCATTTTTTTATGTCAGTCTGGAATTGAAGACGAATTGAGGTCACTGGTTCTAATGTCTCTGAAGAGATGGCTGACCTGCTGCACAGCTATTTCACTCCCAGCCCTTGCCTGTACCTGCTCACCTGGAGCCTGAGCAACTGGGACAGTGGGATCGACTGCTCAGCGCCTTGTCACCACGCAGTGTTACCGATGGGCCGACTGGTCCTTTGAGCACTGCCAGGCTGCATGGTGTCAATACACACACATGCAAGTCCACAGGGAAACGGTGACTGGCCATGGGAATCTACATGTCAGGACACAACTAGCAGACAATTGCATTCAGAGCTGGCACACTGGCTTCTGAGACCATCTGCATGAGGCCCTGGCCAGTGCTCTCAGTAACACGACTGCACACAGCAAACAAGTACACTGGAGGGCAGTGCTGGAAACAAGCCCTTCGAGATACTTATTTTTAAGGATTAGGCTTCAGTCATTTTACAAACTTTTTAAAAAAGACCACCACTTGACAAAACGCACTCAACCAACTCCAAAGTCTTTTGAAGCTTAAGCTTAAAAGCATTAAACTCAGTGACTTTTCTGTAAAATCCAGGTTAACTTCGTGAAGTGTTTTTTCACGAGAGTTCAGACGGGAGCACCGCCTGATCCTCCCACACTACACCGCAGCCCCCAGCTCGGACACGTCACCCCGCTCCGTTTTCGGGGTGCCAGCTGACCCCGAGGTCACGCACCCGTGCACAGCTGGAGGGAACAGTGTCACGACACCGGAGCGGGGACTGCAGCGCCCTGATTTTGCAAGCCCTTTCATGTGGCGATTGGTGACGATGTGTTGAGCAGGCTTGCTGACCGTGTGCTCCCGCACAGAGCCCTGCCGTCGGACGACACACAACAATGTACAGACCACCGCCGCCCGAAATCGCACCGCCGCGGCTGCTGCTCTGATTGACCGACCTACACGGAGCGACAGCGAGCCGGCCGTGCGCTTCTCCCCCAAAGAAACGGGTTTTCAAGTTCCCATGCGATTACCCTCAGCTCGTCTCTCTCGGCTTCCCAGCGGTATTTCTCGGCCTGAAAGCGACCCCATTCGTGCTGGATGAAGTGCAGGATCCCGGGCAGAGAGAGGCCCGCTTCTGCCTCCTGCATGTCCTTTGGCTGGGAAGAGGCAGCCATCGCCCCCGCGGCGGACGGGGAGGGAGACGCCGCCGCTTTGGGCCCGTTGGGGTTCCGTCCAGCGCCGCTCCCGCCTGGGCTCGGGTTCGTTGCGCCCGCTCCTCCACAGGACCTGTCCGCCTCCATGATGGAGAACTAGGAGTCGCCAGGATAAACAGGGAGACGATAATATAATCCCCCCCCTCCCTCTCCCTTCTCTTTTCAGATCACTACCGCCAGCTACTCTACCACACGCACACACAAGCCTCGCCTGCCAAATAGTGATCTCCGTCGACTTGCATCGTTTTCCTGCGGCGAGTGCTTGGCAGGGCGGTACCTTCCTGCCAAATTGTGAGCCGAGCTGTTTCCTGCAGTCATTTCCTAACTAAAGCCGCTGGCTCCCGTAGGAATAACAATTCGGCGATTGCGTTTTTGGAAAAAAGGAAAAAAATCTTCTCTGTGGGCCCCGCTTCTTTACGTATGTGCATTTTCCGTTTTATATTGTTACTGTAAAAATGTCTATACGGCGTTTTTTTCCCTCGCAGTAAAACCCTTGCTTCGTGGATTACTAAGCAATTGCTATAAATACAAGCATTACTAGACTAGCATTGCTCAGCAATCTCAACCCATTTCATCGCATGGTAATAGGGGCGTCGTAGTTCCCATAAAGCAGATAACCCGTTTCATAAAAAAAAAAGAAATAGTGATAATATCGTGTCACTGTGTTCTGTATTTTAACGGTTAACACAATGTAATGATACATAGTCTGTACAATAGACTCCCGAGTGCGCTTTACTCGTGCTGTCCCTAATTACTATATTGGCGTGTTTATTTTTTTACTTTTTAAAGAAAAATGCGCCAACCAGTTAAACGCACAGCACAAACTTCAAATGGTCACATCGGTATTTTAATAGAGGGAGTCAATGTTTGTGATTCATTCAACAGGAAAATGACAAATGTATATTGCGTGTTTCTGTGTTCGCAAGACGTTATGGAAAACAAAACTGGACGTTGTGATTGAGCCATAGTTTGGCGTGCAATCGCTGCCCCCTGCGAAATAGCGCCCCCTTGTGGGTCTCAGGCCAAGTGGCAGAAGTTCATAATCGATTCCGCAGGTTTATGCAGGGGGAGGTTTCCATGGGAACAGAAGATCTCAGCAGCACACTTTGATATGTCTCCAGTTACCAAGGAAACGTGGAGATTCAAGAATACTGCTGCCTCAGTCCATGTTTCCAAGAAAATGTTGATCTAGGTGTACAACTGCCAAAGTAGATACAGAATCCTGGTCAGTATGAACTTAAAATTTTATTTCCCTATATAAGCTCCTATAAATTACTAATTGATGATTTAGAGAAATTCAAGGTGTTAAATTTACATTGTAATACACACATTAATTGGTACTCGTTTAAAATGGTTTCTTTTCATCTCTCCAGTATAAATTTCCATGCACTTTACTTGCAGCACTTCATTATCACACATTCAGCCTTTTGTGTATTTCTAATTTGCAAAAGAGAAACACATAGGTATGGGACCTGACCACAGCATTGTTTTTGACAAAACCTACATGTTTTATAAAATATATGTGTTTCTACTTTAACTGTGCTGTTTAAATCTGTGTGAGCTCTCAGTGGAATTCTGGTGACCTAATACACGCCACGCCACGCTGCTCCTGGGTCTTTTCCTAGCTGTGCTTTTCCATGAATAACAGATTGGACCCTGCTGATAGTAGTGGTATAGATGCCCACATCACAGTTTCTTCATTCCATCCACTCCACTCGCCTGCCTGTTCTACTGCTAGCACAGCCACATGGTCTCATCATGTGGTTCATCCAGAAAGATCCTTCAAATACAGGACAGACCCCACCTGGGTGATGCATGGCCAGCACACCCACTACAGGCTCATAAGGTGAAGAAATGAGAATGATTTTTGCCTGTTAAATTCATAGGGGACTTTAGGGAGACTAGACTGCACAAACAAACCCAGAGTGCAAGTCTATACACTCTCGTTCTTATGAAGACTGACATGGGGTGGTTAATAAGCAAGTATTAAGGACTTCAAATTCACATCTCATCTGATAAAGTGCACCTCCTACAATACGGAGTCCTGGTCACCCACCGGGGTGCTGGTTTGGAAATTTGGAACCAGCGGGAGGAGTGCCTCAAAATCTGTTTTTTTCTTAGCGATGTCCTATTCCAATATAGGTCTGGTGTCATGGGATCATGCTACAGGGTGGTAATGCTGATGTAAAAAATCAGAACAATTTAGTCAATTGTATTTATCTAAGAGGCACATTGCTCATACTACTAATTCACAGGCATAAACACATATAACTAAGTGTTATACTGCAGGTAAGGGCAGAGGCAGAAAGGTTTTAAAATCAAAATACACTGATCTGTCTGAAAACTTTACAAAGCTGTTTTCAGTTTTTCAGACCATAAACACAACCTCTTTTAAATTATTAAATATATTTGTTTTATATTCTTTGGCATTTTGACAGTTAGGTTTTTACTTAAATTTAAAATCACATCTGTAGGAGAATGAGAAATTAGAATTAGACAATACTGGTTCATAAGCATGTGAAAACCCATGAATACCTATTTAGAGGAACAAACAACAGAAGGAGAAATGGCCACACTCTATAGCTTTTATCACATGTCATTTCTGTGCTTTCAGGTATTCCTGGAGGAAGCCACTAGTACTTTGTGGACAAATGAAGTCTTCCCTTTTGAAACGAAGCACAGTCCTTTGGCGTTCTGATTCAAGCTACCTATAGGCAGACCTGGGAAATGAAGCCCTTCACACCAACACTGGTGACCTGCAATCAGACTCACACATGAAAGACAGAAAGTATTTGGAAAGTGTGAAAAATATGGGCTGCTAAAAATTAATAAAGATCAGTCATTGCAGTGGGATAGTCTTGGTGTGGAAGTGGATTATTTTGTGAAGAAGATGTACTTGAAGCAGTGATGCTTAAAGCGGTTGAGAGCTACACACAGGAGACGTGAGTGATGTAAAGAACTCAGCTTGACAGTTAAGCCTTCGAGCAGGAAGGATGAGAGTGAGCTTCTGCCAGGGCCTCCTAACTGGGGCCATAGCTCTGAACCTGCTGATCCTCTACTATGTGTCCCGGGCCCAGCAGCAGATGATGGAGAAGCGCAGGGAGCCGGGGAAGGGTTTGCCAAAAAAGGCACCCCTGCCCGCAGCTGGGATGAGTATTGGGATGGGCATGGGTATCAGTGGCAATAGCAGGAGCCCTGGTGTCACAGTTCTGTTGCGTGAGTTTGAAGACTTTGAGAACTATGTGCAGGAGGTGGCACATTCTTTCTTGCGACATCGCCCTGAGCTAACGTTCTTGGTGGTGGCGGACACTCTCCCTTACCCACCCCTGCAGCTGCCGGAGGGGGTGCGTCTTGTGGTCCTGAAGCCTGCTCCAGACCAGCCCCCGCAAGTGTCTCGGCCAGAGTTCTTTATTCAAACGGAGTACGTCCTTTTTGTGCCAGACGGCGTGGAGCTGGACCTGGGGAGACAGTTGGATCGGTTGGTTAGAGAGCTGGAAGGGGAGGGCGGGGGGCCAGTACGACTGGTGGCGGCCCCAGTCCTGTCCCGGTCGGCAGTGCAGTGCCTCCATTTACGAGTGAGCCTGAGGGAGTGGACAGCCACCTACACCCCAGCAGCGTCAGGGAGCAGTGGCAGTGTGTGCACAGCCCTGCGTGGGGATGCTGTAGTCCTGACCCGGACAGAAGACCTCTTCAATCTTTCAAGCCCTCTTGCCCGGCCGCTCATGACCTCTCTGTTCATCCAGACTTCCTTGCGGGGATGGAAGGTCAAGCTTCTGGAGGGGCCCTCTTTCGGCTCGAACCGCAGGCCTCTCTTCGGCTCAGCTCACAATCAGTGGAAGGCTGACAGCCGCCTGAAGGAGTACACGGCACGGCTGCTACGCGAATTCGGGATAAAGCGGGTTATTAATCCAGATGGAAAGGAGCAATGGTTTGGTTGCAACAAGGAGATGCCCCGATGCTTTGGGACAATCCATGATGACACCCCCGAATATCTCTACTTGGAGCGCTGGACACCCCCCTGCTGTCTGCGTGCCCTACGGGAGACAGCTAAGTATGTCATCAACATCTTGGAGAGCTCAGGAGTCCGTTATTGGCTGGAAGGGGGGACTCTCCTGGGTGCTGCCCGCCACCAAGATATTATTCCCTGGGACTTTGACGTAGACCTGGGCATTTACCTGGAGGATGTACCCAACTGCGACTACCTGAAGAACTTGGACTCCGGCTCCCTTGTGGACGCCAATGGCTATGTGTGGGAAAGGGCAGTAGAGGGGGATTTTTACCGGGTTCAGTTCAGCGAGGCCAACCACCTGCATGTGGACCTTTGGCCTTTCTATCCCCGCAACGGTGTGATGACCAAGGACACCTGGATGGACCACAAGCAGGATGTGGAATTCCCTGAGCATTTCCTGCATCCCCTGGTTCCTGTCCAGTTTGCCGGAATAACCGCCTATGCACCCAACAACTACCGTAGCTTCTTGGAACTCAAGTTTGGGGAAGGGGTGATAGAAAACCCCCAGTACCCCAACCCTGCTAAAAAACGACTGGACAGAAGTAGACTCTGAGTACTTTGAGAAGCAGGACTGTGGTGGTCTTAAAGAGTACTGCAAGGTGACTGATATTACTTTCATCAAATGACTTGAAAAGATTCTCAGGAGGCTGAGAAATATATAACTGTTAACACTCCTTTCTTATAAGGTTCTCTCAGATTTTTCAGATTGAAATAAGATTCTTACAGTGCTGAACTGGGTTATTACCTTTTTTCAAATTCAGAATTAGAAAGAACATGCTGGCCAGCCATGGAATATCTGTAATAACTCCCATGGATGAAGTTCATTCTTCATGACATTTTATTGACTGCATATTTACATTTGTAAAATAAAAAAACATTAAATAAACCAGTAATCGCATAAGCTGTCAGACAAAGTAGAATGATTAATTTTACACAAAACTATTCCCAAATCATTGAGTGAAATGTAAAGATTTAATGGTTCTTCCTCTTTACTCAGGAGTGCAGTGTGTCTCAGATGCATAATCAGGCCTCATGTTAAGTCAGTTTTTCTTGTTTCATTGTGATGCTTATTTCAACTTGTACATGCTTGGCTTCTTTTTGAACTGATGTCATACAGTATATGAATTGTCACTTTCATCTAATGCAATGTATGATTGATGTGCTAGAGTCTTTCTCTTATTGGATAACTTTTACCCTGAATAGTCATGGATGCCAGACTGGGATGGAATAGCTCATTAATCTTAACTTAAATATCATAAAATCAGCTGCAGAAAACTGCAGCTCAGGTGAAAAGCCAGGATTCTGACTGCAGCTCTAACTGCTCAATAGAGCACATGAATGAGGTTCTTAAGAGACAATTGCTTGTTTGAATTTCCTCTTTGTGGATCTGCAACTTGCATGTGAGATCATTCTAGTCTGTTATCCAATACTGCCATTATTCGCACAAAGTACAGTCTACTGCTAAGGACTGAAATGACCTGCTGAAATCTGAAGCACAGCACCATATCCAGATAGTCCTGCTGGATGTGCAATCAGAGATGCTTTTGAAACAGCTGGTTCTAAAAGTGACTTGACTTATTGTAAAATTGTATACGTGCTTATTTGTCGTACTACTGATGTGAAAAGTTATGAAACCCCAATGTTGAGATAAAATCTTGATGGAAAATTTCAGTTTCCAAAGTTTTGATTTGTAGACACCTGAGAGAAACTTGACTTTCTTGTTTTTGTATCACATAAGCAAACTAATAATCTACTGGGATAAGTAAGTTTATCTGCAATGAGTCAGCATGCTTTCCCAGCTTTTATCACTGACAGTGTTAAGGTTAAGAGCTATAGGACTGTGGCTTTCCAGGACCACAGTTATCAAGGGTTGTCTTGAAAACAACATTTATAGGCTGAAGATTGCACTAAAGAGAGTTCCACCTATCCTATAAGCCATAAGCTCTGGAAAAATTGAGCTTTCTTATTTTTATGTTATGCATATCCATTTTACACTTTAAAACTAGCAGTATTTGTAAACCAAATATAAAACACAGAGAGGTACAGTGTGACAGATAAGACCACATTTCACTATAGCTTTTGTGTATTTCTTCAGGATTCTGACTTCAGCAAAATTTGGGTTATGTAAGATTATACATTATTATTTATAATTTTCATAGAGTAAAGCAAGCTACATTTATCATTTTTGTTGCAAATAAAGTACTGCTACAGTATAATGTCTGAACAGTAACTTTGGAAGGATAAAAATCTGGAGTGAATTTGTAATTGATTGTAATTTGATTGTTTGTAAACATTAAGAACAAAACTTGTTCTTACCATCTATAAATATCCTCTCAGCCACACTCCGTCCAGCCCAGGCTGTACCCTCCATTTAAAAGAACTGTTTGGGTATTAAGCTGCAATTGTAGACCAAAAAGAAAAAGAAAATAGGATTCTAATCAGTGTGTGTCGAAATGAAGGTGCTTCCCTGCCAATGGTATTAAATTAGAATATGTTATTTCAAATGTCTTGAGAAAACTAATATTAGATTTGCTTTGCATTACATTTAAAAAGTCAGGATAATTTATCCAGGAGAGCATGAGAGCACACCAGCTCCTCTACTTCCTCAGGAGACTCGGGAGATTTGGTACAGTATGTGTTCACAAACACTCACTTCAACAGATGCACTATAGAAAGAAAATAATCTCACTGGATGCATTACAGTTTGGTACAGCAATTGCTCAGCTCATGAATGTATAAAACTATAGAAGGTTGTGACAGTCCATCACCGGTACAGAACTCTAGATTGGTTCTGCATATAGTTATTGGGACAGTCTCCCAGGTACAGTGAAATTGTCACGGGAGCCGGGGGCTAGCCGTGGAGAGACCGGCAGAACACGAAGTCCCAATGCGAAGCCGCAGGAACGGAGCAAACACGGGGGTTCAAGGTATCGGGCGGAGTCGGGGATGAGACACAAGCCCTAAGGTAGCGGACGTGGGACGACCTGGTGAGGCTAGCCTCTCAACAGCCGATCCCAATGCCGAGCCAGGAGGAAAGGGAGACCCAGAAATATAAAGACCCAGACAACAAGACACACTGGAAGAACAAGAAAAGCACGGGGAAACTAGGAACAGGACAGAGAAGGAGCACCCTCTGGATGTAGAGGGCGTGACAGAAATGTGACTATGATAACATTTGCAGGCACACACAATCTGTTTTGGACAAAAACAGGAACACATTTTAAACATATCTGAATGGTTATGTTACAGGTTACAGGCAAACTGCCATTCAGAAGAAATCCTGAGGTGTTTCATTGCTGGACTTGACCTTGAGTTACAAGCAAAATTATGTGAGGTTGGTGTCACCACTTTTGACGAAGCTCTTAAGGTAGGTGGCCAGTGTGAGAGAGCAGGTTCCACATTCCATGGCACCTTCCCAGCTACAGTGTCAATGACTACTCCACCACCTGCTCTCTCCACCCCAGTCCATAGCTTGTCTAACACCAGTGATGACAAGCTAGCAGCCCGGCTAGATAAACTTACACTTCAAGTGGACAGATTGCAGTCAGCTGTAACATCACTGACTCGCACCCAGGCATGTACCCATTCTCATTCCCCAGAGGTCCAGTCTTCATCCACTGCACGTAGGAGACCACAGTCCCCAGGGGGGCCCTGGGATAGCCACTGTAGTCCTTGCTGTGACTGTCGACATCAAACAGATTCTACTGTTCTACAGATTCAGTTCTACAGCAGAGGCAGATCTCCTTCACGCAGCTGCATCAGTCAAAGCCGACCTTTTCGCAGCCCCAGTCCTGGTGACAGGTCATACCAGCAACACCACAGCTATAATGAGCCTGTACACTGGGACCAGCAGGTGTCAGGCCATCACCAGCGGAGGAGGTCTGATAGCTATGAAAAAGAGTCTGCAATGTCTCAGCAGAGGTACAGGCATTGTTCAGATGACCCAACCAGTTCAAGTTCCAGATATGAGAGAGACAGCTACAGAGGTAAAGAGCACTCCAGACAAGGTTCTCCCAGTCCAACACCATCACGTGTGCGTCATGTAGATTTCACTGAGGCCCAAAGGCAGGGAAACGAATGGTAGCTGGAGATGGGGGCCAGTCTTCAGCTTCATTGTCAGTGGCCCACAGGTCAATGTCATCACTGTCATTGGAGTACACAGCATGGACACCTTATGTAAGGGGATTCATTGAGGATCCGGAAGTAAGCATTCTCCTGGACATAGGTTCAGGTATGTCACCAATTAGTGAAAATTTACAACAGCACATTCCAGCACTAAAATATCGCATTTTGATGAAGCATTTTCAAATAGCACATACACTTACAGGTGAGCAACTTGATATTTTAGGGTCACTGTTTCATTGCGCCTTGGCTCACAAACTCTAGGCATAAATGTGTATGTTGTTTGGGACTCTAGTCAAGATGCTTTACTTGGATGGGACCTTTTAAAGAGACATGGTGCTTCTATTGATATTACCACAGGTGCCTTTGTGTTCAGAAATGAACCAGTTCCCCTACTTACTTCTTCACAAGCAATGCCTTTCTGCTGCAATGTGTTACTTTTGTAACCGGTATCAGTGCCCCCGCTAACTGAAATTATTATTCCAGCCTCAGTCACATGCCCTACTGAAATTGGAGCAAAACTACATGGGTTCCAGGGAATTCTGGAGCCAGATATGCAGTCCGAGAGAAACCTCGTAGTTGCATGCAGTTTCTCCGTGGTTGAGAATGGACTTACACTCATTCACTTGCTGAACCTCACTCACCGGGATATCGTGCTACCCCGGAAGACACACATTTGTCAGTTCTATTCTGTGCGAAACATGCCCTCTGACTTTTACATCCCCATTGTTTGTGTAGCAAGTTAGTCAGCTTCATGTTCCTCATAAATTACCTGACATTCACATTGACAAAGACACTCTGACCCCAGAAGAACTGTCAAAAAACTGTCACAAGTGATATGCCAGCAGGCATATCACTCTGCAACTCAAAACTGGGAACACACTGAAGCTAAGCTGGATGGGAGACCTCCTGGGAAAAACTAAGGTTGCTGCTGGAAGAGGTGTTAGTGGGGCCAGCTGGGGGCGCTCACCCTGCGGGCCATGTGGGTCCTAATGCCCCAATATAGTTATGGGGACACTATACTGTAAACAGGCGCCATCTTTTGGATGAGATGTAAAACTGAGGTCCTGACTCTCTGTGGTCATTAAAAATCCCAGGGTGTTTCTTGAAAAGAGTAGGGGTGTAACATTTGTCCTGGCCAAATTTCCCATTGGCCCTAACCAATCATGGCCTCCTAATAATCCCCCTCTCTGAACTGGCTTCATTACTCCCCACTGATAGCCGATGTGTGGTGAGCGTTCTGGCGCCCCTAGTGAAATTACCCCAGCAGTTACTGCATGCTGATCTGATTGAACCTAGCCACAGCCCATGGGCCTCTCCTGTACTATTAGTTCGCAAAAAGGATGGCTCATACAGATTTTGTATCGACTATAGACGTTTAAATTCAGTCACAATTCAGTTTGGATGCTTTATCTGGAGCCACATCGTTTAGTACACTGGATATGTCAAGTGGCACTAACAACAGGGTATGCATTTGATGATAACTGGCAGATTGAAATAGAGGACAGTGACAAAGACAAAACAGCCTTCTCTACAGATGATTGTTTTATATCATTTCAAAGTAATGCCAATGGGCCTGACAAATGACAAATGCACCTCCAACTTTCCAGCGATTAATGGAGTTGGTGTTATGTGGTCTCCATTGGTCCAAAACATTAGTTTATTAAGATGACATCATTGTTTTCAGTAAGATATTCCTGGAACACGTGGACAGCCTCACTGAAGTTTTCAGCAGACTGCTGAATGAATTATAATTATTATATAAGTGTAAGAAAATATTTATTATTATTACCTAGCTATAGCCTACATCCTCCAGGTTGTACAGTTTCTACAATCAGTGGCCAGCGATCGCATTTGGCTTGTGGAATTCGGCCGATGCTGTGCGCTGAAGCGCTCGATTTAGGACCACGCGGAAGACGGGAGGATGTGACGTCACGTGGTGTACGCGGCCTGAGGAAGCCGCGGTGCAGTAGTGAGCTTCAGAACCGGCCTTCCCTCCTTCTACCCGCGCTGCTGAGAGAAATGAACTGGCGACTTCACTGTAGTGTCCGACCTATCATACAGCATTACCGGAGAAATAAGCAAGTTAAATGTAACTATAAAGGCGTGTAGATCTTTTCAGGTAACCAGTTTGTCCTCAACATTTTTAAAAACTCTTCAAATGAATAGATTAATTATATTCTCCTAAAATATCTTTAGTTTTGAAGCTATAAGGATGCGATCAAACCACTGAAGTCACCTCAATTCCACAAGAAATTAATGCGGGCTTAATTCAGTGAACTACACACAGACGTTACATGTGAGTTTAATTTGTCAGAATAGTTATTGTAAACTACTGGATTGTCTTGTACATATAATGACGACAGTTTTGGTAGTTTGTATCGTATGTTTACGTTTGTGCAACTGTTATTCTATTTCCTGTTGAACTGTGTGCAAACATCTGACTATTGAATATACCGAACACCCATGCGCCTTTCCACCGTTGGCAAAACTACATTTAAAGATCTGACATTGGAAACTAACGCATTCATGGACAAACGGACATTACAGTAATTTGCATCCTCCAAAAAGATAGTTTTTCACATAAGAAAATCACATAAGAAAATAAAAATTGGGCTTTATCTGATTAAAGTTTAACTCGATTTTAGGCTCTCTGCGCATGATATAAAACACAAGTTCTAAGTGTCTTGTGAACAGCGGGCAGGTCTTGCCATGCTGGAGTCGGCTGGAGCGGTCGCTCGACGTGTAGGCTGCTGCACAATTACGGCATTGAAGTCGTAGTTTGTGTTCCACAAGTTTATACATGCCACCTTCGGGCTTCCTACAAAATGCCTTCAATATACATGACAATTGTGTGAATAACAATAAAACGACATATGATAAAAAGGTATGCGTTTAAAGCAGCTTTGCATAGAACAGATGAAGCCATTTACACTGCAGAGTGCAAGATTTGTCCTTTGTGGTTATGCTATGGACAACCCTGAACGTGAGCGACAACCCTTAGACATGGGTGTCTGATTGTCTTAGATTGTTGTTCCTAGTGCTGTGTACTATTATTTTCTCTTCATATATTACTGATTATATTTGATGTAATATTTATAATATGCTCTGACCACAGATCTTATGGAAATTAGTTTCTTTTAGCCCCACCATCTGCTGCGCCTGCTGCTGCACATTGTAGACCTGTGGCAGCTCCTCGGCGCGTCGCCAGCAGGGCTGCCGGAGCGGAGATGGAGATGCCAGGAAGGAGGCCCAGCGAGCGGAGCCGGAGCCGGGACTGGGACTGGGATAGCCCAGAATGCCGAGCCCAGTTAGACAAGGTCTTTTTCCGGGAGCAGGATTATATCCAGGCGGGCAGCTCGGAGCACAGGGAGTTCTGGATGTTTTTTGAGCGCTTCCAGAGGTTCCAGGAGAAGCAGGAGGTAGCAAGCGGCTCTGAAAGAAGTGAGGAGAATCGGGATGACAAAAGCAGGAAGAGGGGTGGAGGGGGGCGTGCGGTTCTGGGCCTGCCCAAGGAATACAGTCCCCGTTACCGGATCAACATCTCAGTGTGCACCAAGGATGTAGAGGAGAGGCTCAGCGGGACAGGGAAGACGAAGCGGGATAAGGGAAGCAGGGCAGAACCAGGGAGCCGAGAGGTGATGTGTTGCCGTTCGGCTCTGCTCCACTTCCTGGACTTCACGCAGAAGCAGAGCTTTGGGAAGTTAGCCAAGCTGTGCCAGGACCAGAGGAGCCTGCCCATTTTCCTGTACCGGGAGAGGATTGTGGAGCTAGTGCGGTCCCATCCTGTGGTCATAGTGGCGGGTGACACAGGATGCGGCAAATCCACGCAGGTACCTCAGTACCTGCTGTCCGCTGGCTTCAGCCACATCGCCTGCACTCAGCCACGCCGCATCGCCTGCATCTCTCTGGCCAAGCGGGTCAGCTTCGAGAGCCTTAACCAGTATGGCTCCAAGGTGAGGGATCGACAGTGGGCTTTGCAGGCGGTAGTAGTTCAGGTGGGGAGCTACTGAAATGGAAATGGAAATTAACGTTTAGCTGTTGTTAGACAGTGTTTCCACGGACAGGGGTTTATGATAGCACGGTGACAGGCTGGCTCTCCTAGTCTAGTATCCTAAATTGTGGATCTTATTTTCTATCAGGGGTCTTAAAGTGGCTTAAAGATCAGACTGTCTTCCACTTTGCTTTTTACAGTAAAGGGAAAATTCTCTTTACCCTGTTCTATTATTAGGTGTTACGTTCTATTAAAGAGAAAAAATAAAAAATAGTTTTCTTTCTATTTGCAAATAAGAAGTTTAAAGAACTCTCAGTATCTCTCTTGAAAAACTTATTTATTTTTATTTAATTATCACGTGAAAATACTTAAATCGTGATTGAAAGGTTGGAGGTGAGAGGATAGCCCTCTTGTGGGTGTGGGCAGAATTACTGGCCACCTTGCCACAGACACAAATACTGAAACTAAAGATGAGCAGGGCTCCAGAATGACTTAGCATGTGAAGGTGTGTAAAGGCTCTGTTTACAGATCAGGTCCAAGTTAGATCAGAGACCTGTGGTTGTCACACAGCACAGTAGAGATAAAAGCAATAATGTGTCACACAGCAACATACATTCTCCGAAACATGCACTGTAAACCTGATTACATCCCTGACATCTGATGCAGTTTCCAGTGATGGGAAGTCTTTAGGCATCTTGGTCAGCCACAAGGGTTTGCTTATTTACTTGTACAGATGCTCAGGTGATGATGCTTCACCCCATTGTGAACCTCTAGCCTTTGGATTGCAGAAGTCAGTTTCTATTGAGTGGAATTCCTTTACTCTGTACACGACTGTAACCCCCCTCTTGTTCTCGTTGCAGGTAGGCTACCAGATCCGTTTTGAGTCAACACGTACCCCTGCCACAAAGCTGGTCTTCCTAACGGAGGGCCTGCTGCTACGGCAGATCCAGCAGGACGGTGTGCTGGACCGGTACCAGGTCCTGATAGTGGATGAGGTGCACGAGAGACACTTGCACTGTGACTTCCTTCTGGGCGTCCTCCGCTCTCTGCTGCTCCAGCGCTCCGACCTCAAGCTCATCCTCATGTCAGCCACTATCAACCTCAAGCTCTTCTCCGGATACTTCAGTGACGCCCCCGTGCTGCAGGTCCCTGGGCGCCTCTTCCCTATTCAGGTGAGTAGACAGAGGCTCAGTGCGACTCATAAAGCTTATATGCGATAATAAGACTCGCTTCTTACTTTACCGTGTTACAAACTAACGTTTCTGTTTTTGTAGGCTGTAGGATATTCAGAGCTCCTACATATCTTCCTTTGAACTGTTTATCATGTCTGTTAAGTATCTCTTAATTTAGTACATGATTTGAATGTTTTCTACAATATGTTTTAAATGTCGAAACTTAGATATTCTACTTGTACATGGATGATTAGGCTTAAATAATTTTTTTCTTAGCTCACTAGTAAACCATATGGCAGAAATAACAATACTGAAAAGACAAGAGGCTAAATTAGGTTATTTGGGGAGTGAAAAGCAAGTCACACAAGTTCAAAGCAGAGCAGAAGAGCTGTATAAGAACAAGTAATAGGTTTATTCCATGCTGAAAAAAAGAAGAAAGAGAACACAACGTTTCGGCCGTGGAGCCTTCTTCAGGTATGTGGACACACCTGAAGAAGGCTCCATGGCCGAAACGTTGTGTTCTCTTTCTTCTTTTTTTCAGCATGGAATAAACCTATTACTTGTTCCTTTGCAGCCTACGCATGCTAACGCAGCTCCCCACCTGAACTACTACCGCCTGGAAGAGTTGTATGTCAGCTGTATTTCAAATACAGGTCAAGGAATGATTATCAGCATGAATGAACACACAGTTTCAAAGGATCTAAGATTTTGAAGATTTTGATCAAATTTAAAAGGAGGCGAGATGATAAAAAATACAGAGTGATCAGGAACCCTAACACTACTATACTCATTGTGCTGATGAACCAGAAACTGTGTTGTTCTAAATATTATTTTGTAACTTAAATCTGTCAGTGTAGATTTTGTTCAAAAATGGTAACAAGGTTGAAATATCCTGCCCTAGACATTTGAGTACATGTGAGTGTACAGTTTGTAAAACCTGAAGGGATCCAAGTGCTGTGCTGTGAGAGTCTTACTGCTGACTCTCTGTGGACAGGTGGTGTACCAGCCCATCCCCGCAGAGGAGCAGCCATCCCGGTCGGAGAAACTGGATCCCAGGCCCTATCTGCGTGTTCTGCAGGGAATTGACCAGCGCTATCCCCCTGAGGAGAGGGGTGACCTTCTGCTCTTCCTGAGTGGTGTGGCAGAGATCAACACCATCCTGGAGGCAGTGCAGACCTACGCTTTGCACACCCATCGCTGGATTGTCCTGCCTCTGCATAGTACCCTGTCCCTGGCACAGCAGGACAAGGTAGAGGCTCACCAGACAGGGCAGTTTTTCTCATGTAGGAGAACCACCTGCTTCAATGTAAAACCTTTAGAAAAAGTGAAAACCTTTAGAAAATATTGATTTAATACTGTCTTGTAGCTTTGGTCTCACAGCAGGTCTGGGTTTTGTTGTGGGAATCCTAAATGCAGGAGCCGTTACTTGATTCCGTGGAAACATTTCCTGTCTTTGCCAGGTGTTTGACATAGCGCCCCCAGGAGTTCGGAAGTGCATTATTTCCACCAACATCGCTGAGACATCAGTCACCATAGATGGTGTGCGCTTTGTAGTGGACTCGGGTAAGAAATCAAAGAAATGGTGGATAAGCTCTAAACCATTAATGCTGCACCAAGTAAATTAGTGTGATTCCAATGCGTCCAGATCTCAGAGCTGGTCAGTAATGAGCCGGGAGGCCTCAGATTGCTGCTGTAAGTAGTCTAAGCCCCTTGGTTCAGAACTGCCAAACCCCTGTGGTGACAGCGGGCCATGCTGTAGGTGCAGTCTTTTTGATGAGATGTTATTCGTAAGATTGTGGGTTTTTACTCTGTTTTACCTCTGTTCCATTCTAGCCCTATGCCGCCTGGCCTGTGTAAAGTGCCTTGGGACCATTTGGGACAATTTGTGGTGTACAAGTTCAAGCGTTACTATTCAGTTTATTACTGTTTCTATTAATAGCATCATTATTATTCAAATTAAATTACAAACACTTGGCTCAAATATATAATGCTGTGTTTATTGGAAAATAAAAAATTGTACTTGCTCTTTTAGATGACTTTGTCCCCTTGTGTAACCTGTCTCTGGCAGGGAAAGTGAAGGAGATGAACTTTGACCCCAAGGCCAAGATGCAGCGGCTGCAGGAGTTCTGGATCAGCAGAGCTAGCGCTGAGCAGCGCAAGGGTCGAGCCGGGCGCACTGGGCCTGGCGTCTGCTATCGCCTGTTTGCCGAATCGGATTATGATGCTTTTGCACCGTACCCCATTCCTGAAATCCACAGAGTGGCCTTGGATTCCCTTGTGCTCCAGGTGGGTACGCCTGTGAGGCTGCTTCAGTGTAGCTCTTAAATCATGAACTGTATACTATCCTGCAGACAGACAAATAAGGCAATTGTAAAGACGTGCCTAACATGATGTCAGGGCATCTACTGACTGCCACTGGATTTTCAGTATAGCCTCATACCAGTAATTCTTCAAAACAAGAAAGAAAAATCTGATTAACCTTTCCTCCATGTATGTATTAATATTGTTAGGTACTTCATGTCTGGAGAGGTTGCTTTTGAAACAGTATAGTAAGTTGTAATATCTAATAAGTTGTAATTGCCATTAGGCAAAGTAAAGCAAAGTTTTAAACTAGTAAAGTTAGCTTTGATTTTGTCATCCTGTGAATATTTAAAATCTTATATATGAAGTGGAGTTTGTCTGCATTTTACAGCAATGTTATTTTATTATTATAAAATGATTCTCTTGAAAAACATTCCAAAATACCTCCAGGTAGAGCACTTTAAACGGATAAGCTGGCTTGTTCATTCAGAGGAAATGAATTCTGTCTACCGAGTTGTACTAGTGTGTTTGAAGATGATGTAGGTTTTATTTCCTATGACAGACGATACGTGTCGCTTGTTTGTGTGCAGATGAAGAGTATGGACCTGGAAGATCCCCTGTCCTTCCCTTTCATTGACCCCCCACCTGCTTCCAGCATCCAGACTGCCTTGCACTATTTAAAGGATCAGGGGGCACTGGACAGCCAGGGGCAGCTCACCACCATTGGCAGTTTGCTGGCACAGTTGCCTGTTGATGTAGTCATTGGTAAGAGATGCCCTAGCTGGCAGAACAGTTTCAGCTCAGGTCTGCATGGTCTGAGTTCCATTGCTGAAGTAAAGCTAAATTCACCACAGAAGGACATTGCAGGAGATCTGGAAGACGTGTGACCTAATTCTGTGCATGCCTGTTTTTCCAGGTAAGATACTAGTGCTGGGATGCCTGTTCAGCATAACAGAGCCTGTGCTGACGGTGGCAGCAGCCCTCAGCGTGCAGTCCCCCTTCCTGCGTAGTGCCCACCACAACCCTGACTGTGCCACCGCGCGGCAGCCTCTCCACAGCAGCCAGGGAGATCCTTTCACCCTGCTCAACACCTTCAATGCCTGGGTGCAGGTGAGGGGTGCGGAGAGCTGGCCACACAGCTAGGGGGGCATGTTCTCGGGATTGCAAAGTCACAGCATGTGGGGAAAAGAGAACCTTCGCAATGTTATCTCTCCTTCAAAGAAAAATGTGCTGTAAAGTGCAGGTTTTCTTGATGGCCGGTTATGCTTGTTATTTGTGCGATCAGGTGAAGGCAGAGAGGGGTGGGGAATCGCGTAAGTGGTGCCGGAGACGGGGTCTGGAGGAACAGCGGCTCTATGAGATGGCGAACCTGCGGCGGCAGTTCAAGGTAATTGCTTGTCAGTAACAAAATACATAAAACAGTTACTTTGGTTATGTTGACAAAGATATGAGTTGCCTGCTTTAAGCACTGATTTTTATTTAATTGACTTGATATAACTACTGTATAAAACAATGCCTGCTTTATTGTTAACATGATGCACGTGTATCAGAGGCTTTAGTCTTTAGCATAATTTGAATTATAACCATACCTGGTTTCTGGCCTCATCAGGAGCTGCTGCAAAGTCACGGCCTGTTGGTGGTGGAGGAGAGCGCCCCCGCCTGGCAGGACCGGGGGCAGCGCCGGCAGAGGCTGGGCGAGCGCAGGCGCCTGCACCAGCTGAAGAGGGAGCATGAGACGCGGGAGAGCGGGCGCCGCAAGGTCCTGAGGCTACAAGAGGGCGAGGAGGAGGACAGCCCAGGGTCCTCGGACCAGGAGGAGTGCACAGGGGCAGCTGGGAGAGGGAGGACGGGCAAGGACACCGCGGTCAAGGGCGTCGACATTCAGGTGACAGCGGGGTTCAAGGGACACGAAGCGTTGAGTTTATTCTCACTGTATTAAGTGATCCAGTCGGTCATCTCAGAGCTCTTAAGAGAAGCAAAACCACTGTAAAACTTTACATAATGTAAGTTACTTATGTTGCAAATCGCCTTGATAGCAAAGACCAAATTAATATAACATTTGTGCACCTGTTTAACATTTATGTTGGTGTTCCTCTCTGTTATGAGTATTTGTGAGGATATCCTCACAGTTTGTCCTCATGTGGATACTAAATACTAATTGCTAGTACTAAATGTCCACATAAAATCTATCTTCAAAAATGAAGAGTAGTCAAAAAACACATTTTTAAAATCAGTCAGTTAACATGATATTCCCACCCAAAATGATTTTATTAAAAACATTCCTGAAACCAGCAAAGTCAAAACCAGAATGAGGTGGAAGTATTGGAGTTATTTTGCATTTTGTAATGGCACTTTATTGCTTAGTTTTTGCCATGGATATTTGGTAACTTACCACAGTTTTGATTATTTTACATAACATAAGCCTGTTGCTTTTCCACTTTGAAGATTGCACTTGAATAAAATAACCCTTTTTGAAATCAGGGAATCCTAATACAAATGTTCTCCATGTGTGGTGTAACAATTTGTGCAATATAAAGGTCTGATCCGGAGGTGGGATGTCTGTACACTGGTATGGCACGAAAATGATTATTGTGTTTCAGGATGTGAAATTCCAGCTGCGCCACAGTCTGGAGAAGCTGCAGGAGGCGGCCAGTGCCAGTCAGGACCTGTCCCGACGCCAGCAGGCCCTGCTAAAGCTGGCGCTTTGCCGGGGGCTGTACCCACAGCTGTCCCTGCCTGACGAGCACAACGCCACCCGCAAGGACTCTGAGCAGGTCAGCCAGGGATGCTGCCCAGTCTGAGATACACGGCTGTGATACAGGCTTGATCCGTTAGCTACCAGTACTCAAGTTTTTCCCAACCCTAGTGCACGTACAGGCTAATGCTCATCATGGTTTGTTACATTAAGCAGGATGAGTGTCAAACACTCTTCGTGTCTCCAAGTTGTCATTCAGGCAGTTGTTAAGTATACACAGGCCTCTTCTGTCTATAATTACAAAGTTATAGGGGACATCATTCTAGGCAGAGATTGCTTCTGGAGATCTATGACACTTTAGAGTACTAAATTTACGTCCTCTCTCCATGGAGGTTCTCTCTTCCTTCATCTATGTCCATGTGTTTAGCTTTTAGCTGAAGGAAGCCAGAACACCTTATCCCCTGCTCCTCAATAAACATTCTAAATTCTATTTCTAATTCTTATCACTGTAAGATGAGATTGTGTTCTCAAATGACGTAGCTGGTAATTAAGAAAATTGCCAACATTTTATCATAAGAAAAGAAACACAATGTTTCGGCTGTGGAGCCTTTTTTGGGTGTGTGAAGGCTCCACAGCCGAAATGTGTTTCTTTTCTTCTCTTTTCAGCATGGAATAAACCTTTACTTGTTTCTTTGCAACCTACGCATGCTGACGCAGCTGCCTACTTTTAATCAGGTTTTGTTACCTTTATAAGAACACAGTCGGCTGTGCTTGAGCATATTACAGGCATGTATGCACAGGGGTCTTGAACCCATGTTCTTATTCATCTCAACCTACTCCATGTTGCTCTCACTGTCCCTGTCCGTGCATGCTGTACCACACTCCACTGCAGCAGGTGGTGAGATTCATTTCATTTGCTTTTTCCATAAGACAGATATAACTTAGAAAGTAGTTTATCATACAGTTTTTGAAGACTTAGCAAGTTTCTATTTTGTGCCCTGTAATGCTCCTCACTGTGGGCTTACCTTGCGTTGTGTGCGACGGTGCTGACATGCTGTCTCATGTGTTTCAGATCTTCCACACACGCACCAAACAGAGTGTGGTGATCCACCCCACCAGCGTCTTTGCCAGTGACCCAGAGGTACTGCATGTCCCAGAGCAGGACTCCACTGAGACAGGTACCAGTCATACAGCCTACATATGTACAAGTAGTTCAGGTGGGGGGCTGTTAGCATGTGTAGGCTGCAAAGGAACAATAGGTTTATTCCATGCTGAAAAGAGAAGAGAGAAAACACAATGTTTCGTCTGTGAAGCCTTCTTTGGGTGTGAGCTCATTACTTATTACTTGTTCCTTTACGCGTGTACAAACTGAGCCCTGTTAAAAATAAGCTGGTCATGTGCACTGTGTCCAGATGGTTAAGGCTGTTCCTTATAAGATGCTATTGGAACAAGCCCCTTTTATTACATTATATTACATTATGTATTAATAAGTCTATTAATTAGTAATTGATAAGTCTATTATTGCGGAAACCTTTTCTGGTAATATCAGGGATGTGTATTTTTAAAACTAAAAAATCTATATATTTAAAATAACTTGTCTGTACCTTGTAAACTGCGATCCCTCAACACGCTTCTCCCTCCACAGGATCCGATAAAAGAAAGAGCAGTAAGCACCAGCTCCTGGCCTTTGTCACCCTGCTGGAGACTAACAAGCCTTATATAGCCAACTGTGTGCGTGTCCCCGCCCTACAGGTCAGCATGCAGCACTGTGTCTCCCTGTCAAACAGCCCTCTTCAGTGGAGGAGCTGCCAGCTGTCCTGGCTTTCTATTCACCTGTGCTCTAATTTACTTTGTTAATCTCATTAATGGATGAACTGGACAAAATGTAACAGTTTAGTCATAGGCTTGAAAATAGACAATATAAAAAAGAAAATGAATACTCTCTGTTAATTTTCTAAGCCTACAGCCATTCTTATAGTAAAATGTTAAAGAAGCCCTTGACAATATTGTATTGATTACTTTGGTAGTTATATCTGGATCAAATCAGGATTTAATATCAAATGCCTGCCAGAATTTAAAACCAATTTTAAGAATTGCCACGGAAAAGCCTGATTTTGAGAGTTCATGTGTTTGTTTACAAAATGTTTATAGCTTCCCATATGCTTGGGTTTGTTACCATCATGAAAAAAAACGGGTGCTAACCTTTAATAGTGATAAGTGTTTCATGTAGTTCAGGTGGGTAGCTGCGTCAGCATGCATAGGCTGCAAAGGAACTAGTAATGGGTTTATTCCATCCTGAAAAGAGAAGAAAGAAAACACAATGTTTCGGTCATGGAGCCTTCTTCAGGTGTGCCTTCTTCATAGGTTTTTCATGTCTGGATCAGGCTTTGCTGCTGGTGGCGAACTCAGTGGACACAAATGCAGACTGCACGCGTGTGGTGGTGGACAGCTGGCTGGAGCTGTGCTTGGATGATGGGGGCGCCGCTTTGCGTACTCTCTCCATGGCTCTGCAGCTACGGCAGGACTGGGAACGCCTCCTACAGGCCCACCTTGGCCACAGTACTGGGAAGGTGGGGGCTTCCGGAGTCCTACGGAAAGATCTTGAAAGACTGAGCGATGGCCTGGTCAGGTTCCTGCTCTACACTGAGGTAACCGAAAGTTACTGTTTACTTCCTTTGCTTGACTCATTTACCCCTTTT